CGCAATCCTGCATTTTAGAAAACTGCTGAAAGCAATTGCACTTTTGATGGGAACTGGTCATTAACAGTACAGGTGCAGACCATGCAACAGGCAGTTTCAGCACAAACCCCTTCCCACATTTTCTGGCTCTTAAGATTCCATCTGATAATGGCAGAAGCAGGTTGTAACAGCACCTTTTTGCCATGGATTAAGTTGTTGCTCATTTGGAGATCTAAGACAGATACTTTCCTCTTTAGGACTTCACTACTTCTGCACGTTAAAAAAAGGCAAAAAAAAAAAAAATACACCACTTGCTTTCTATAGTCGAAAAGTTACTTCAGCCTTACCTTCCTATACACCCTTTCTCATTTGTATAAACTCCGGATGCTTTACAGAAGCATCATGTTGTTGGCATAAAACACAAATTTAATAAAGCATTTAAGTCAAAGAGTATCAAGAAACATGTTTTTACTAATTACAGTATATATTAAATAAGTACAGCACATATTTAATAAGACCTTGAAATCATAATGGTAATAAATACTCCTGTCACATCAAATAACAAAATGCTGTTGATATTTATAACCAAATACATCCCTGCCTGACCCCAGTGAGATTTTACTAACAATATCTTTGATCTCTAACTAAAGCGATGCATGCTTCCAATTGGAATACCATCAATGCTGATAATGAAATATATTTTTTGCAATCCTATGCAACAGCTTTCCCAAAGACGATAAGAAAACGGAAAAAATTGGCAAAAAACAAAAGAAAATAGGTAGCACGTTCTTTAAATGTTTAGTCAATTTAAATTTTGTATCATTACTGTTCTAAGGTTTCTTTTATTAATAGATTGTGGTGGTCTGTTTTTTTTAAAGATTGAAGTTCACTTTAGAAAAACTGATGAAAAAAATGTATCTATGTAGCTAATACAAATTTTCAAAGGGACTTGTAGTTGCTCTTTTATTCAAGACAATCTTGAGGGTGGAATCCTTTCATACAGCCACATGGTGGTAACACTGTGGGGTCTTTCACTTGGACATCCCAACAAATCACAACTGTTAGGATCAGGACTGACTGAGTAGTTTAAGAGAACAAGCTTTACAGACAAGAACCTCTTATAGGATTTTTGTTTATTTTCAAGGAACTTCCAGCATTTTCAAAGAGCAAAGGATAAGAAAAAGAAGACTGTATTATAGTATCATGAAAATAGCTTAGTTCTGGTGAAAAAAAAAAGCCAGATGACTAAGGAAATATCCAGAGCACAAGTCCTTATGGAGACACCTCCTTACACAAATGGCAAGAGAGGGTTTTTTCCTTTAAAGATGCTAAACTAGTATTTTGGAGGATTTGCTAAATACTTGAAAAGACAATACAAGTAAAACCAAAGATCAGCATCAAAATACAGGTACCAGAAGAGCCATTCTCTCAAAACTGACTTTATAAAAAACGATATCATGAATTTCTGTGTCTGAAGATTAAATCTGGTTCTTCTGTTCTGAACTGGTGGCCTTCAAGAAATCATCCATTATATGTAAATTAAAATGCCCATTCTTCTTGGCACAAACAACAAATGTTTTACCAAAAAAAAACAGTAAACAGTTTTACTGACTACATGCACATACAATATGGTTATAGTCACTTTTGTCAGCAAATGAACCAACAGAAATAACACTAACAAAGTCTTACTGCAGTGACCAGAGTAAGCTGGTACAGATCTAAATAGACACTAGAAACTCCATCCAGCTTCTTTCAAGCTTTAGAAGCGACACTAACACTAGTTTGACCTTTATTCTGGTGACCAAAAGCAGTTACTACCTTCCAAAGAAAAGTCAGCATCCATCAAAAGACTAAGCCTTCACACTTACTAAGAGGCTAGAGTAGGAAAAGATATTTGTTTTGATAAGGTAAACTTTATACATAAGTATCTGTTGTCTTTACAATGCAAGCAGACCAAAACAATTGTACAAGCAAAGGTGTAAGTCTTCCCACTACTTTTTAAAATGCAGGGAGACCCAGATTGAGCAGCACCTAAATGCTATTGGTGAAATAAACTTGGAAAACTATCTTACCTAACTGTGTATTTTTGATTCCACAAGTACTTTGCAAATTTTGTATTACAAATCCCAGTTAGAAATTAACTGGTACAACTATGCTATATGACACAGCACAATATCACAAGCTACAAGTTAAACAACAAAACAAAAGATTGCCTGTGACTGCACTTTTTTTTTGTAAATCCAGTAAGCTTTAGAAATTCCAATTCCAGAAACACAATGAATAGGAAAAAGAGGGCAAGATTTATTTGAATTATTTAATTTCTTATACAAATATTTTTATTTAGAGTATTAAGTCCACATAGCATTTAAACACTTAAGAAAGAGACAAATTCAGGTTCCTGAACTGAATTGAAAGTGGATTTGAACCAGTCACCTCCACCTCAAATGAATGCTCTAAGTCCATTAGAGATAATCAACACTACTACTTCCACTGACACTACATCCTCAGTGTTGTAAATGCTGTCTGTATCATTTTGTGAACTACCATTTTTAGTTCCAAATTTTACTTCATTAAAAATGCCCCAGCTCTTCATTTCCCTCTCTCCACTCCCACTCAAAAGCAGCAAGAGGGAAGTATAAACAAGCCTTACAGGGATCTGCTTGTTTTTATCATTGTAGCAGGCAGCCAAAAATATAACTGCCCTAGATCTTCTCAGCCCCAGGCTTATGCTCCCAGCATTCAATGGACAACTGCGTCTGAAGCCTCTGCTCCAACAATGGTTTCCTTGGGCCTCATTTTTCCCTGTACCATGCAATGTGCACCAGAAGAAAACACATACAGCATTAGGAAAAAGATGAGAGCAGGGAAGGAGTGGACAGACACTTGACTGCCTGTGAACTTTTTTAGGAAGATGGATTTCATTACTTTCCTGAAATCTGTCTTGCCACCCAAGTATTCCAGAGCACCATGACAAAATGAGATGCTAACACCACACAAGGAAACAGCAAGTGGTGGGCTCAGCATCCACAAGGTGAATGAACCCTTAGGGATTTGAAGACAATGCATGAAGTTGTGGCTCCCCAAACCTGGGAGGAAGCGTGCAAGCAAACATGGGACAAGATAAAGGGGGCTACACTGGAAGCAAGGAAAGGGCATGAGTGCATGGAGCCCTGCTATGAACTATGCAAGGAGACAGCTGAAAGCTATAGGCTGGAATCAGAGAGGAAACCAACAAAGACAGTGTCACTGTGGATGTCTGCTATGGGCTGCCTGATCAGGAAGAGGGAGTGGATGGAGCCTCAGACAACCAGAAGCCACCTCATGATTGCAGGCCTTGATTCTCACAGGGGACTTCAAATGTCTTGATGTCTGCTCAAACAGAAATAAACATGGAAGGGAGCAAGCAATCTACAGTGAGTGCCCTGAGGACATTTTTTGGCCAGAGGTACAGACAGCCCAACAAAGGCAGGTCTTCTGTTGGACACATTACAGGCAGGAAAGAAGTATTTGGGAACATGATAGCTGATGGCAGCCTCAGCTGCAGTGACCACCAATGACAGAGCTTAAACACTGAAGGAAAGTGAGAAAGCTAAATGGCAGATGAGAGATCTGGGCCTCAGGACCATAGACTTTTGTTTATTCAAGCTGTCCTGACACAGGAAGATGACTGGAAAAGGCCATGGATCTGTAAGGAAAACTCCTCAGTGCTCTGGAAGGGTCTTCCCCAATGTGCAAAAAATGGAGCAGGTCTGGCAGAAGGCTAGCTCAGCTGAACAGGGAGCTTCAGACTGAACTCTACCACAAAACCAAAATGAATGGTCATGGATTGAGATGAATATGGAAACACTCCTCAGGCATGCAAGGACTCATCTCAATTCAGAATTAGTACAAAATGCAAAGAGTGACAAGAGCTTTACCACTACAGCAGCAGCAAAAGACTAAGAAAACCTTTGCCTGCTGCCAAATGTGACAGGCACAAAGGATTCCCTTCATCATGGGCCAATCATATTTGCTTTGAAAGTCATAGACCTGTCAATAAAAGGAAGTTGAGTATACAAATGTTCTGATAAAATACCATCACAAACGTGCACACAAACATGTGATTATTTCTGTTAAATCTTTTTTTTTTTTTTTTTAAATCAACTGTTTCAGAACTCTATCACAGGAATCATTATTTATTTTTTTAGACACAGTGATCTTGCACATTAACAAGTATGCTCCCCTCCTCTCTCAAGGAAAAGAAAAAAAGAGATGGACTAAAATATTCTGATGTAATGAAATCAAAAACATGGTATTTTGCCTACATATTAAAAACTGTTAAAGCAACCTTGAGATACCTTTGAATTATACATAATCATAAGGTGCTAAAGCAGTTTAGGAAGCTTATAAACGCTTTTTTCACTTGAATTCGTTGCTTCCCTTTCTTTTAGCTCTAACTACTACATTCCCCAGCACAACTGTTCTAGTTCAGGACACCTTGCAACCAAAATCTATATAAAATCTTCTTCTACAACATAAAATATTTGACCATATTAGCACTGATCATGTATTATGACCAGTATTATCACAAATAATGTATAAACTCTCCAGTACATCACCTCATGTATGTATATTTAGGATAGATATTTCCTAAGGGCCTTACAATTTACATGGGATTAAAGTTCCACATTCACAGAACTCCCAAGTATTACAATAAACAATGCTTGTTTTAACAGCTGAGATGATAACTATTTACCCTTCATCAGTGACAAAACACCAGTAACTTCCTTTGGTTGTCATAAGTTGGAATAATGTAGATAACAATAACACAAACTTGCAAAGGAATATTCATTCAAGACAATGATGTCTGAGCTATGCAAATCTCTTTGTGATCATACTTTCATTCTGCACAATACAGTTTAAACCACAAAATTAATACGAACTATACAAGCTCAGACCAGGAGATGGTCAAGTTCCATTAGCTAACCATTTCAGCACATTGTTCACATATATTAATTGCTTACCATAAGTTTATTACTTACTTTCCATCTACTTCTGGTCTTCTGCACACACAGTGAAACTTGCCACCAAAATCTATATAAAGATCATCATCTACAACATGGAATATTTGACCAATGGCAATTTTATCTTTGGCAGGTCCCATCTGAATTAAAGGAGAGCGTCTCAACATGGATGCAAAGGATTCCGATTTCTTTGAAGGATCCTACAGATAAATAAATTTAAAAAAAAAATAAAAATCACAAAACATACTATCTGAAGGCAGAATTAAATTAAACTTGTAACATACAAAAATAAACATATCATGTGTCCAGAGCATTTTTAGTAAGACTTCTAAGGAGACAACTAGTACATTTCTCCAACCCCAAGCATTTTACACATTAAAGGTAAGCTTTTACTAATTCAGTCATACAAAAGCGTAACACTTTGCATCTCCTGAAAACATCTGCCAGTTCTACTATTGGTTAGATTTAAGCTGATTTAAAAACCCATTCCCAATATTAGGAGATATTCCTGAAAAGAACATCTCTCATCTCTTTGTCACCTCCTTGGTGAAAACCAAAACAGAATTAATACCCTCCCAACTCAAACCATTCTAAGATTCTATACCCTGCAGCTATTCATGCAGATATTTAATAATAAAAAATATTTAAATCTTTACTTTAAAGAACAAAATCTTTTTCCCAAAGCAGCAGAAGTATGAAGAATGCACAGGACTGATCTAACATATTAAAAAAATTTGAACCATCACTGCTCTAATTTATCACTCTACAATATCAAAGTAAATATTTTAATTCAGTAACTAAACAAACAAAATGCCAGCACCTTCTCATAAAGCTCTGGGAAAATGGGAGACAAAAATACTCCTGCTCTTCATGAAGACATCTGTTCTGTGATCTCAGAAGGCTATTACAGGCTTTCCATCATATGCTAGGTGAAAATGTCCAGCTATATCAAAAACTCATTCTCACATAACTTTCCCTGATACACTAAATTTGACCACTTTTTAAGATTACTGCCTTTGAAATACAATTAGTAAGAAAAGCCTTTTTGCCAATAACAAATGAAAGGGGAGATGCTTTTTGGAAGCAATATATACCTGAAATCTTAAAAGGGAATGTAAGGAAATATTAATTTCACCTGCATTTAGCAGTAATTAACTGATACAATAATTACTTCACACAAGATTTCAGACTATTTTCAAGCCAGCAGAAGAACTAAACAGAACAAAATAATCAAGCAGTTAAAGGTTTAGAGATCTGTTGGCTTCAGCAACACCTTGACTACTTCAAGTGGATGCTAAAAATCCATCTATATTTTATATGAACACAGAATAATGCCATCATTTTCCACTTGTTCATTTGGAAACATTTATTCTTGGAGAAGTCAAGACAAGAGACAGTTTTGAATTCCAGCTCTGCTGGAAGGCACAAACAGCATGGGTTGTTCTGACATGACATAGCCTCGGGAATTATAAACTAGAGATCTGACACCTGGTAAATTTACAGCTTCAGAAACAGGAACTGTGAAATGTAGCATCCCAAGGACAACAGCTGAACAACGTGCAACATGCACACACACCACAAAACGAAAGTGGCTGGTGATTGTAAACCAGAAACAGAGCGTAGGATTTTATACAGGAAAGCTAGTATCAGGTAAGTTCACAAACATAGAATTGTTTGAATTTCACAATGCAGTCAAAATTCAAGTACATGAAAATTAATTGCACAGGATGCATTTGTAAGTGTTTCGAGAATAAATGCAGAATAGTGGAAGCAATAAGAGGAAGTATTTAAGTGAGTTTTAGCATATGAATTGAGGGGGCAGCAGCAATCTAGGTGAAACTTTCAATCAATGTGTAAGTCATAAACTAACAGCAATTATTTCAAAATTAACATATCAAAATTACTCCATGTGGGCAGGAGATTATAAATCAAACCTCATATTGAAATGCCAAAACCTGTTTTAAGGGAAACTGATGTACAAAGTGCAAAATTCCATCGTCTTCCACTGATTCTCTCACTATGAACTCACTAGTTTGCAGAATCACCCAATTGCCTTGGAAGTCAACTGCTTGTCCATGTAAAGTGTAAAGTAACAAACATTTTTCCATCATCCTGTATGCTCACGTTGTTTTCAAAGATTATACATCTTATCTTAGTTATACCTTGTCACTCAACACCAAGTTACAGCAGTCAAATACAACAAAACTCCACAGTCAACTACTCTATCCGCTAAGTTGATCGTTCAGTTCCCAACTTCACTATTACCCCATTCCCCCACCCTTCACTGCTGACCTAACTCGATTTGTCTGAGAAAGATGATGTCCATGAAAACAATCAGAAAGTGATAGTAGTAACATGCACAGCAGAGGATTTCCAGGAGACATTCAGTCTCTCAGATGGGAGCAGCTGAGTGCTACAAACAAAAACGACTTTCCCAAGTAAGAATTAGCATTATCAAGGCAGGATGCCTGCGGGGACACATAATGTAAATACAGAAGGGAAGCATATACAATACTGAAGAGACAGACACAAGCACAGTATCATCAAGTGGCAGAGATGCTGGCTTTTCAGAATTGGATGTTTAGAAATAGATCCTTCTTCCAAACACTTTACCTGCTCCATCTATGAGATTGAATATCTGACAAAAGTCTTTCTGGGGTCCTCCAGAAATTCTGTTAATTCTTCCTAATTTAGAACACAGACCTGTGAGCATTTAAACCAATAAAGCTGGCACTGCCATGCCTCATCCTGCCCTCTTACTCCCTCCCAGAAAGAACTCCTGTCCTCTTATGCCACCACTGAAACTTGTCCTAACCTGGAATAAACCTGTTTCAGGAATGTAAGAAACAAAAGCTATTTCCTTTCTTGTAAGGACAGCTTTCTGTGGTCTAGTTTCCAAACTAAATCACCAAGTGACCAAGTGAGTATCAGGATGAACAAACATGAGAGTGCCCACAGACAAGGGCAAAGGTAAGAATACGGCCGCAAATCATAAACTCAGAATGATATGCACTACTATCATTTCATCCCAGAATATTTTCAGTCATCCTTCATAGCAAGGCAAACTAAAAAGAAAACTGGTCTAGGAAAAAAACAAACAAAACCACCAAAACAAGCGAAAAAAACCCCACCAAACCCCAAAGAAAGGTTGATGTAATCATTTGTAGGCTAATGTATATATACTCCACAGCTAAGTTCAGGTCTCAGGGAAGGAGGAGCTTTGTTTTTCATATTTCAACAGGATGCGAGGAGGTCCACCTATGCTTTGAATTAATTCAAAGAATGATAATGGAATCAGACAGTACACTAGATGATTCATTTCCAACAACTTTTCTTATATGTAGATCATCTGGAAAAAGCCTCAGCTAGTATAGAGAATAAAGAGAACTTCTGACTGTGGTTTGAAGGAGATATTCCTAAATTATCTGGAAAGATGGCATTAGTAATGGCCATTGAACACACTGAGCAACACCAAGCTTTTTTTAAGCAATAATACAATTCACAGTTAAGTTCCTTCATGTCCTGACAATTATACTCATTAAGTGGCAACCACCTCATTCTTGTTGCCTTCATAGCATGGCACACAAAGTAGGCTCTCTACCCTAAAAAAACTTGTTGCTTGTGAAATTTTTATCTCCACATCATAAGATGGGTACAGTAACATTCTATAAATTTCCTGGTTTTATGATCTAAAAATGGTCCATTCTGGTTAATAATATCCCTCTCTATCTCCCTGGCAGGAAAAAATACAGATACAAAATTCTCCCATGTGCAAACTTGCCTGAGAAATAATCACTGTACAAGATGCAGGTGCTATCTTGACACACTGACAGATGTGCTCATTCCTTATTAGAACAGAGATTAAACTCACTAAGATATAGATGCTAAGGTACAAAGAAATCCTTGGCCATTTTTCACTGTGAAGTTTTCCAAGAAATCACCGGTAATCTGTTTGAATTCTATCCCAGGTCTACAAGTCTGCAGCAATCTCCATTCTGCTTCCTGGAGAGGAACTTCTCAAGAGCACAAATACGTAACTTACGTATATGAGAATCCTCAAGAGATTGGTTACAGCCATCATGGATTCTTTTGTGGACAGTCTAGAAACAGTGAGCTAAAATACAGTATTTTCTCAAGTTTCCTGCATAACCTAAAGGAGATCTCATTAAACAATAATTTATCTCAAGTGTTTAAAAAAGATTTAATGACATTTTGAGTACTTCTCTCCATGATTTCTAAATCTCCTTAACTGGATTCCCCACAGTAGCAGTGCAGAAAAACAGTAAAACTTTAAGATAACATGGCAATATATTTTAATAAGCATTCTATACTTTTCTGATTCTCAAGGAGTGTTGGTTGTCCAGCTGTGATAGATAACAACATGTCAAGTTGCAAAAATTGGAGAATATTACAAAACCCAGAAGCACCAAGGGCACATTATTTTCAAGTACTTTAAATATAAAGGCTTTTTTTCTCCTCCCCCTTCAATACCTAACCTATTTGGTTTTCCTTCTAATTTCTAGGTTTTAAAGTTTTTCACAAATATTTGATTGTCTTTTACTTCTGTGCACATAGTTCAATTAAAAACAGTAGCTCTTTCAACAACAGATACTCTGCAAGATTAAGCAGAGAGTGGAAAAAGTCTTAGATTTAAACCCCAGACAGATCCATAGGAAAGAAGCAACCCCAATGGAGGAATGTAACATACTCCTTCTGCAGCAAAGCCTATGATTATACAGGCAGGGTGGTCCTGTCCCACCCACTGAGCAGTATGTCTTTAAACCCTAGCTACATGTTTTATGTTTGCTTGCAAAGGCAAGTAGGATGCATGTTGGAATGTGAGAGATATGGATGTAACATGGAAAAGTGAGATGGGAGATTGGTAATCTGACTGCGACAATTAAGGGGTGAATGACGTATTAACATCAAGCAGCATGCAAAGAATTCAACCCTCTGTAACTATCAAATTGGTTTTCCTCAGCGCTGTCATTCACAGCCAGAAAGATTTTTCTGTCCAAAGTTAATTGCACAAAACAACAAAATGGGAAAACTGATTTGCACTAACAAGTTAGTATGATGTCACAAGAGCTAAAGATCCAACAAGCCAGCTTGCAGATATCCAAAACTTGACTGGAAAAGGCTCTTATCAACCTGAACCAAGTTTGTCCTGCTTGGAGCAAGGGGTCTGAACAGATGACCTCCTGAGATCACTTTCAACAGGTATTATTTTATTTAGGAAAGAGAGAAGACTGAGCCTGCTATAAAGAATATTAAAACAAAACCCAATACTTTGAGCTACTCTGTGACTAAGTATATTTGATAAGGCACTTATTTCAATGAGCAACCTAAAAAAAATTCACTACTAGCCCATCAGGCCTTAATTTTCCACACCTTGTAACTATTAGAAGTGTCTACTGTTGCTTAGATATAAACCTAAACCTCGGGAATCTTTTTAAAAGTCATTGTAGGCATTACTAAGGTAACAGGTCATAGTGATTCACGCAGGCTCAGGAGGAGCACAGAGAGGACTGATATCTGACTACAGTGACCAAAATTCCAACACACAGGCATACAAGCAATTAAGCTAGAAGTATTTTCTCTGGGTGCTGCCTTCTTTCTATTTATTAAACTATTCGGTCTAACATGACTCTTTATTGAGAAGTTCAGTATATCTTATTCCAGTCTCAGAATATAATCACTCAAATTTTAGGCCTCATGTCTTTAACTCATCTCAGAGATGTACAGCTCTCAGTCTCCACCAAATAAGTTCAAGTATGTCCTCTACTTCTAACTTTGAACACCTTCACAACTTTGTGCCTAGCAGTAATCAGTAATTTTAGAGCTTTCTCAAAGCAAAAGCTCTGCTTCCTGTATGAGTAGAAAAGAAAAATTTGGGGAAAAAGAAAAAAAAAATTAAGAGCTGACACTAACATTTATTACTCATTTACTCTAAAATACTGTCAACCTCTACTAAGTACCTAATCTAGACCTCTTAAAAAACAACCCAATCTTGCATCTTCAGGCTCATTCCACCATACAGCTATTATCTACCAAGACAGCATTCCCACTAAACCTGCAGAGCCCTCCAAATCTCCTGCAGTCAGACTTTTTGTCCCCTCTTCTAAAGTAGCTCTGCACTGGGCAAAACACCCCTCGCTGCCCACCTTGGGTTTCTACCACTCACATCTCTACCCAAAGGACAGGCTGACACAGAATTGTTCTTCTTCCTTCCAATGTTTTAAATCCTGCCCCACAGTTTACAAACATCACAAGATGCCAAAAACACCATCAGTAATCGTCTCAATATATAGCACTAACATAGTATTATGCATCCTAATCCTTTGCAGAAGACTTGTGCCTACCATTATTTTTTCAGACAACACAAGCTATAGCTCTGCAGGCCAGGGGTTCACCTACTTATTTGTTATCAACAGATATGTAAACAATAAAAAAACCCAAAATCTGACAAATACTTGTCATATACAGTACATGATTTGCTTATATTTTTAATACCGGGAGAAATGAGAAGTCCAAGATGAAATATGACTCTGGAGCATCATTTGGGCTTTCATGTGAATAGTAATACAAAGACACATCATCTCTTCAGTACAACACACACCTCCTCTTCTCCATCTCCATTCTATCATTCGAAAAAGAGACATTTCCCAAAAATATTAAATTACTTGTTAACCTCTTATTTGCAAACAGCATTTGTCTCAAGTAGTATTAAACAGGACAATATGCAAACCGCTAGCTAATATAGATATCAAGAATACATGCCATACATACCAGCTTGGCTCCAGTAACTAAAAGATGTACAAGGCTATTTTAGGCTTTTTTTGAAGGCTAATGTTTAATTCTGCTATATGTACCAAGGCAAATATTAAAATGCTGTTATCTGAAAAACCTAAATGTTTATGTATAAAGCAGACATGTGAAACTATGCACATAGTAGAAACTAGGAAGATTATTTTTTTACAGCTCTGCATAATTCAAACTAGGACACAACTTTTAGCTAATACACAAGTAATTAAATACAACTATCACAAAATTCACCTTCTAATGCTCATAAGTAACAGCAAAACATCATCCCAGTTACAGCACACAATTATAATCAAAGACAGCATGAACTCAGAATTTGTTCTTTTAAAGTCCACTGTCTGTTTTGCATTTTTCCCCACCAGAAAACAGCTCTTTTTCCTCCACAATTAGTGGCCTGAGGTTTTGTCCTATTAAAAAAATATCAACTGAAGTTCATACTGTTTCCCAACAGATTCAATTTACAACACAAATTGACGAGATCTTCCTGGTCTTTGTGGTCGCCCAGTTTCCTTTAAACAAGATACTTTTCCATTTTATCCCATACAAACAGATAAAAGTGAAGAACTAATATAAACTTCTGGCTAACAAAGGGTTTTGAAGATTAACTACAGTATAAAGCTGAAACAAAAGCAAGATTTGTGTTATTTAATAAAACCACTAAAGGAAAATAGTCCAAAGAGAAAGCATAAAAGGAGAATTCGTGATTCAAAGCAGAAATAAAAGCAGTGATTTAAGGAAAAATCTAAGATTAATGACTGCAAAGTCACAAAGGAAAGCTCTGAAAGCAGTCAAGAACAAACTAGAAGCTTCCCTGCTAGTAAGCAAGAAGATATTTATAAAAAGCTTCATATGAATCACTTCCTATGCAAATATTGCTGCAAGGCCAAATTCCTGTAAAGACAGCACTTGCACTCCAACTTACACTATGATGACCTGAATTCTTTGAGGGAATTATTTTAGTTGTAAGGATTCTAATATATTCTAATATTATTTAACATCTACAGGGCAGTAGAAGAAATATCAATATAATTAAAAATTCCATATTCACTGATTTAGCCCATCGCTAAGTAATGATTTGAATTGCACCTTCAATGGCAGCAAGCAAACCCCAAATTATTCAGTTTTGGAGTGAACATAAATACCCATCTTTTTAAAACAAGTTTGAAGAAAGCAGAAGAGGGGAGAAGAAAACAGAATCAATTTTTAATACAATATGGTACTACAAAAGCTGTACCCAAGAAGATCACAGTGAGCACTGAAAGCTCTTCCTCCAAAACTTTAAAATTTGGAGGGAAAAAACTCAGATTTTATGACTGGAAAAAGCAAAGGAAAACAGCTCTTTTTGTCTAGAAGAGGATGAAGGAAACTGACTGCTATATTTTTATTCGTACCTTTATTAAATCTTTATTAACTTTCAAAAACCTTGCATACTTAGGGTTTTAATTGTCCAATGTTGTTTTCCATCATAACCTTAAAACTACAAGCACCCCCAAAGAACCGACAGAAAACAAACAAACTTCTGCTATTTCAACCAAAAGATGAACATACATTCTCCTCAGCACAGTGAGGAAATGTGGGTTTATTTTAGAAATCAAAACAAACAAAATTCTTCAGCCAAAAAGGCTGAAAGTAAAATGCTGAAATTGGGCATTTAACCATTCCTTGGTGAGAAGCAGTGACTAAGTGTTTTGGCAAAGCATCATGTAAATTACATTGCAGATATTAGGATTTTTTTACACTAAATTTACTGTGCAACTCTAATAGTATTTTGTAAAGAGTTCTTCATTAAAACTGATTAATTTTTTTAAATACTGCAGGATTAGGCTTTAAGGAGCATAGGTACAGAAACGAAGGTATCTTCATACTCACTGCTAACTTGAAGGTAAAATCTGGCAGTGACTTTGCTGCATACAATGTGCCAGAAGTCTCAGTGTCCCACCGTGACTTGGGAGCACACCTGACTTGAAGTCTCTGGAGAAGAGCACCCTCTCCCCTGTGGAACATCTGAGAGAGCGTGATTTACTCTGTAAGCCTTCTGTGAAGCCTGAACAAACTAATCAGACAGTATTTTAAGCTTCAGTTGTAAATCAGAGAACTTAAAACCGCTCTTGCTGATCTATTTGAAACTAGCTGTGCTGTAAGTCTCAGAAAATGAAGAATATCTTATTTTTCAATTTAATCCTAAGTAAACTACAATAATACTGAAAAAAGCCTCTAGGAAATCCTATTTAGATCATTACACTAAGTGGTTATCCA